AACACAGCTGTGCTTCTTTGAGGTGTTCACCAAATGACTCAAAGAGTGACTTAAGCATAGGAGGGTTAAGCAAGGTTTTTTTGGTACCCGAGCAAATTCTTTGCTTAAGCAGCTCTATGAAACTGGCTCCTGGTTTGCAAAATGTCTTTTATCACGTACAAAGAATGTCAGGAAAAACACATGCACTCCCAAGTCAATTAAAATTACATCAGATGGGCCTAGAAAAAAAATGCTGTGGGACTCTACCCGGGAAAAGTTCACTTGTGACTCGACTTGTGGAAAAAGACCTGTAATTTGACTTGACTTTTAAAAAAAATGACTTGTTATACAAAACTATTGAGGGAATTGCTCTATGATAGGTATGCACGTTGTTTTTCTGTTTCGGGGGTGAACATCCTATTTTTTCCTGTTGGTTTTGATTTGTTGATGATACCTTTAACACTTTAAATATATAAATGTTATACTTTCAGTGGATCTTTCTGACCTCCAACCTGAAACGAGTGCTGCCTCGTATTTATACTAGTTGTTTCTGTTATTTTTTCTTACAGTGGTTTCTGGCAAATTTCTCATATCAAGAGGCTCTGAATGACACTCAGATGGCAATTGTCAATACTCTTTCATCAACTTCAGGTATGTCTTCCTTTTTTTGGCCGGCATTTCGCAACTTCAAAGTTTACATCAGGAATCATAATTTGACATGTAGTTTTGGTTAAATGCCATCTGACATTTTTTTGGACTTCATGTATAAAAATGAAAACTATGATGAAACGATTTCAAAATGTTGTACTTTTACAAAGCTTCCACAGCTTTGTCTAAAATCCTATTAACTGTGACCCTTCCAGATCTTTTAAAACTTTCCAGGAGGTTTTGGACAATTTTAAGGGTTGGTGAAAGTACAGCCTAGTGCTTCACAATTTGCTTCTCAACATTACATGTGAATTTGTTACTCGCTACAACACAGTTGAAGATATTGTGTTATTCAGGAAGGGGTGCTCAAGCATGGGGAGTTAGCAAGCAGTGCAACCAACTTCCCTGTCCGTTGTTTTTCTGATTGTACGGTTTCTAATGTGTCTTTGCCACCAGGTGTCTTCACCATGATCCTAGCCGCTTTCTTCCCCAGCTCTTCGGGAGACAAATTCACCTTGACAAAACTAGTCAGCGTGCTCTTGACGTAAAGTTCCTAGAACCATGTTTTTTTTTAAAGATTTTGCTCATGCATGATAATAAAACTGGGTGTTACTTGCTTCTTAACACTGAAATAATTTTGTCATGGTCCTGTGATTAACAATGGGCATTCTTCTAGCTCTTATACTGGTAACTTGTTTGTTTGTGTACTTGTTTGCCTACTTGTTTAAAAAGTTGTTGCATGCTTGGTGTAAAAACACAATGCTTGCAACATTAACAGTGTCTGATTGCTTTTATCTTGCGTTACATCCGTCGCAACCAACTCATTCTTGTGCTTCCCTCCCTCCCTCCCCTTTTCCTCTCTCCAGTGTTGGGGGTATCGCTATGGTGAGTTTCACCACCACAGACCAAGCTCAGGAGGAGGTCAAGGTGGGTTCGTTGTGGGCCCTGGGAGGGGCGTTCCTCTACGCGGTGTACCTGGTCATGCTGAAACGCCGAGTGGAGAATGAAGATGCTCTGGATATCCCAATGTTCTTTGGTAAGTCCGAAGTTGTTGAATGGAAGAAACTTCAGGTGTTTGTTCACAAGCGGTTATCTTTCATGTAAACGGATCAAAATCCACTCCTCCCTCTTGGAATAACCTAATTAGGGGATTGTAAATTTTGTGGGAAGGGACGAGATTTTGAGCCTTGAGAGTCATCACCAAGTGAAAAAGACAGCGGCGAGTGTACAGTTACAAATGTGCATGCTGCATAGTGCACTCTTGGCGGTAAAATGTTTTGCTGTGGGAGGCCAGGCTCTGGTCCAAAACTTCATGTACTGCAGAAGTAAGCTTGCATCATGTGTGATTCTGTGGTTTGTGTCCCTACTGCACTAGAAAGTATAGTAAGAAAGTAGCTCTGTCTCCCAGCATGCTGTTCAAGGTAAATTTGAAAAAATTGGGTCAGTGTAATCAGGAGAATGGTGGGTGAGCTGGTATTTGTCATTTTGCTGTGGCAGAATTCAGAATTAAAGAGACTGGGATGCCCACTTTCAAACAACTGCCAAATTGTAAATCCAATTTGCCGTTTTTTACATTCTCTGATTTCCAAGAATTGTAACCTGAAGATTTCTCTTTCCTGACCTAACAGCACCTCAGACAGTTTTTGGGAAGTTCCTTGGTCCATTTTAAAGTGACAAGCTTTCTTAACACCACTGACGCCACACCACTAGCCTTTTTCAAATTAAGGCACTTCAAACGGTGATCTTTTTGGGAAACTTCTGCTGGCGTTTTGGTCAACATGTGCTTTTATTTTCCAATTTAAGCCAATCCTAATTATTTGCTAGATGTTTCCGATTGTTTTGGCATTTTGCCAAGATTTATTAGCTCCATCAGTTTTACTCAAGTTTTAAACTGTTATAGCAAGTCGGTCTTCCACTCTTATTGCAAAGGCAAAGACATCCTAAATTCACACTTAGGTGAATTAAACAATAAAGAACCCTTAATGAAAATTGCTGAAACAATAAAGCAAATCATTGACCTTGTTTTTAAACAAGTAATATGGGAAAAACTATCTTGTTGGATTGAAAAAAAAATGTAATCAAGTTTTAACCACTAAACTCTTTTTCTGGACCAATCAGGTTTTGTTGGTCTGTTCAATTTCCTGCTGATCTGGCCTGGTCTGATCATTCTCCACTTCTCCAACTGGGAGACCCTGGAGATGCCGTCGGCCAAAGTGGTGATGTACCTGGCACTGAACGGGATTGTGGGCACAGTCATTTCGGAATTCCTGTGGCTGTGGTGAGTTTTGACCCGTTGTTTGCCTTGGTTCCGGTCTTTGGTTTGGTTTCCTGGGTTGCAACATTTTGCTTTTGTGGACTCGGGGTCTTGGAGTGGGTTATAGGATGGGCATTTTGGATTGAGACATTGTTAGCTAAGAGTCAAGTAATATGTTTGTGTAATTAACAACGCACTGTCTCGCTTCACCTGTGCTATGCAGCAGTGTTGTAGCGGAGTACTTTCCGAGTACCAACGTTCTCCGCAAAATACTGAGCTGGCTAAGAGGGAATAAAGCCAGAGTGCACAGGCATTTGATGGTAATGTGCAAAGGTAAGATTACAAAATAAATGTTAGACTTCAGACACTCCCAGTTGTGTAAAATTTAAGTTTTAAGTACTTGAAAAGTACTTGGCCAAGTACTTTCCGAGTACTATTGTCCTAAAAAGTTAATTTTAATCAAACAGTGATGGTCTGAAGTCATTATGTTGCTTTGTAATCTTACCTTTGTGCATGTACCATTAAATGCCGATGTACTTCAGCTTTGTTCCCTCCTAACTAGTTAAATATTTGGTAGAGAATTTGGTTCTCAAAAAGTACTTGACTACATCACTGCTATGCAGGCCCCCAAATATGGCAACAAGACCCCCAAAGATTTTTGTCATAATACTTGACTCTGTTTAAACTTCGGCCCCTCCCCCCCCAAAACAACAGTATTGACATTCCTACTTTTCAGGTGTGCCCTTTGAAGCCAGAGTGTGATTAGTCGGGACTTCTCACAGTTTCTGGATTTTTGACCCCCAAATCCAGTATTTTTAACAGTTTATTTGTTTATGTTTTGCCAAGTTTTTGTACTTAAAACCCTAACCCCTTAGGCCTTTTTAGTAGGAACCATCCTGAATCCTCCGAAATCCTCAGATTTTCAAGATAAAAAAAATTGCATTCAGCCCAAATCCTCAAAGATCCTCCAAAATTTCTTGGAAATGTCATTTGGAGGCGTGCCTAACCACCCAAATCCTTCAAAAACCTCCGGCAATTCCCGTCATAATGTTGAGGCAGTGTGAATGGCACTCTTGAGCTGTGCAGTTGATTCAAAGAAATATTGGGCTGCATTTGTGCTTGACTAAAGCACAGACAACTTAAGGTCTAATCCACGACCTTCACGCATGGCATCCTTCGAAATCGGCCATGCACTTTTGCCATACATCCTGAATCCTCCAAATTCCTCCACTTTGCAGAAAAGGATTTTGGAGGATTTGGGAGGGTTAGGGTTGATACAAAAAAACTAAATATGCAGTATTCACATGATTACATTTATTTGGGAGAGAATTCATGCCCTTTGAGCTTTTAAAAGCCCTGACAAGGCAAGGTATTTCTTTCTATTACCCCTCTGTTGGATAGTTTGTGGATTCCTCTTCATTCTTGCATCGCGCCCCTGCAGGTTTTTTACTGACTTCCTCTTTGTTTTCAGGGGCTGTTTTCTGACATCCTCCCTCATCGCAACACTCGCACTCAGCCTCACCATTCCTATCTCAATTTTCCTGGACATGTACCTCAGCGGAGTAAGTCCCTTCAGTACCAAAAAAGTTCCTGTAGTAATCCTGCAGTAGCCTACTTTCTACCTCTAAACCGGAACCCAAGATCATTGTTAACTACTTGTGGATGCAGTGTGGACGCTGCTACTTGGAGGGCTGCGTCAATTTGAATAATTCACTTTTCGAATATTTGACCTCCAATTTGATCAAATATCCGAATATTCGGTTGTACTGACTGGCAAGATTGTAATGAACAAACCATATACAAAACCAGTTGCAATAACACACACAATTATGATCAATATGGTAGCTTCTCACATCTAGGACTATCTCCAGCCACGACTTGGCAAAATTGAAGAGATGAACAAGACTTCTTGCCCTGTTGAAAATTTGTATTCCTTTTGAACTGTTTAATGAATAATTTACTATCGAAAGATTTCTGATGCTTTAAATTTGAATCTGCTTGAAACAAGTCTCCATGGTGCAGTTTTTCTCATTTAAAACCAAAAGAAATTTTCCCTTCGTTTTCATGATTTTTGCATTCAAATATTCAAATTTGAAAAATAATATTCCAATATTCGACAATTAATCGAGTATTTGATTATTCGGATATTCGGCACAGCCCTGGCTACATGAGGAAGATGCTAGTGGGGATCATGCGACAAGTTGATACTTCAGGGAATCAAAATAGTTTGTCACATTATTCCAACCCAACCACCTAAAACAGGACAATTAACAAACGTTCTTTCAGTTGCTTACTTCAACATTTGTTGCTGCCCTTATGGGGAGGGGAGCTTGGAGTTGTCTTGGCTAGCTAGTTGTGTTGGGGTGCGGGCGGCTTGGCATCTCGTCACTGTGGCCCAGGTTGGATTCTTGGCCCTGGTCATGTGAGAGCAGAGTTGTTCATTGGTTCGCTCCCATGCCAGAGGTTCTCTGGTCTTCCACACCTACCCAAAAGTCAACACTGAAGATCTCTGGCTGTTTGGTTGCTGGCTGCCTTAGGAGCCTGTACGTGTCTTTGGATCAACCATGGTGTATTTAGTGTCTTTGTTGTACAACGCATTTGAACTTTATAGCTGATAAGAAAAGAATCCATTATTGTTAAACCATGAAGAGTTTAATTTCTTCACAGACTTCATTCCAGCTTTGTGCTCTAAGCCCACTTTCTTTGATAAAAACCTAATATGAGAACTCTAACAAAAAACCAATTACCAATTTCCCAATGTCTTCCCTTCTTGTCAGGTGTCGTTCTCATTGCTCTTCTTTGTCGGAGCCGTGCCGGTCTTCATCTCCTTCTTTGTTGTCTCCTTACTGAATCATTACAACGACTGGGACCCCCTCTGGGTGGGTCTGCGGCGCCTCTACAGTATCCTGAGGCCCCTGCTGACGGCGTGCTGCTGGTGCAGTCGAAGGAGAAAGCCCCTCTCCAGGTAACGTTGGCACTGCTTCTCACTAGAAATCCATTCAGAATGAGCCAGTGAGGTGTTTCAGTAGCGGTGACTCAAAATGAAGGGCGTCATAAGAGAGCAATCTGTATACGCGAGCGAGGTCAGCCCTATTAGTGTGACCATACAGCAAACACAGCTACACCTCCTTCCCTGTCCCTTTATGGGATACTGCCGTGATTCTAAATTTTGTCCGTTTGTCAACTTGTGTCGTGCCATCTCCAAAGTGCTGCAGCTGGTAGAGTGCTGTGAATCTCTTCTCTAGCATCTGTGTCTACACTCAAATAGACCTCCCTCACATTGCCTGCCATTCGTATGGGCAGCCAGAGTTTGCACAAATATCACCCTTAGTGTCAGGTTTTACCTCAAGAAGGAAATTTGTCCTGTTGCTTTCAAAGAGGGCCATATTATCATTTAGTAATTATTAGCAGTATTTATTGTTTGGTGTTTGGATACATGTAGCTATGTGAGATCTTCAAACACCTTGCAGATTATTCATTTGCTCTGGCACTGCACCACTGCAAGGCAAAGATATGACAGTAATGTGGAAAGAGAGATTTTATCTGCATCTGTTTCAAAATATTTGTCTCTTTTCATTTTGGCAGGGTGTCGGAGGACAAGGAACAGTCAGAGAGCCTGATTTCCGACCGCATCGACTCCGATGAAACGGAAACCAACAGGGATGACGACAGCTGCTGAATGCTGCAGTGCCCCTCCCCCTGAAAACCCTGCTGCCACATCAGATGTAAATATGTTAATTCTGTGAGACCGTGTGACAAAGGAAGTAGAAAGTTTGGTTTATAGAGAAATCAAGAACAGGTTTTCAAAGGATGTCGCCAAGGCAGCTCGTCCTCTGAGTGACCTTGTTCAGTTAAACATTTGTTTCCATATAGTCATACATTTTTGTATTGTGGAGGTCAAGTGTCACTTGGGTGACTGTATACGTGTAGGATGTGGATGGTGGTGCCAAAGGAGGAAACCAGCTTTTCTTGTACGACCATAATATGTTAAGAAACCAATTCAGTAACGATTCTATGAATCTATCCCCTCCCCCAAGAGTTATTCGAATTTGAGTGAAAGGAAATTTTCCTTTGCTAGGTTCCCTTTCAAAATATGCTGCAGTGATTTTGTGAGAGTGGAGAATGGGAACGCTATGATATTGTGTGAGGACACCTTTCAACTTCACAGCCAGCATTTTGCTTGTTTGCCTGCAGGTGATTTGTTACTTTTTGACTGCTCATATGTTCATGTACCACGCTCACACACACAAAATGTCATCTCCTTGTGGACCACTCGCAGATGGTAACATTTTGGCCTGAAATTTCAACCTTCGTAAGAGAGGCAACTTTTAATATTCAGCCAAACAGCAAAAATGCTGACTTACTGAAGTCGTACAGACAAAGACCTTTCTTATACTGAGCCCTCCAAAAATGGCAACTCCTTGATGATTCCTGGAAGTGCACTACGACGCGAATGAAGCTGTACATATTTGTATATTTATCCATGTGGGAATTTTGGTCGAGGATTGAAGTGCGCCCGTCAATTGGAAATGTGCGTGTGTAAACTTGAATCTCCAATATCCAATTAGAGACGTATTCCTGTTGAGCGCGGTCACTGACTTTGCCTTAAAATGTGACTGGTGTGACGAAATTGTATGGAATGCCAAGAATTCAAAATACCTTACGGCAAATGCACAGGCTTGTGTGTGCGAAGAAGATTTTGACAGTGCTTCCGTACACTTTTTTCCCACACAAGAATTATTTTGCAATATTATGATGTATATAATGTTCTGCAATTTCAAGGAAGTATTATTGAATTGAATCTAGTTGTAAACGTATTTATACAAGTACATAGTATGTCTGTAGGATTGTGTTTTTTGATTGGCCTAAAATATTTATTTTGTTATGTTCTTTGGTAATAATAGCGGTGCCCACGAACCATGGCGAGTCCAAAATTTGTACCTTGTTTCAATGGAAGCACCGTAATTATTGTAGTTAGATGCCCGTATAAGTTTTGGCATATATCGGATGATTAAATCTAACATATCAAGCAAAATCAGGCATGCCTGGTATCATAGACATTTTTTATCACAACTGTTACCAGTCACTCTACATCAGGCTGCCACAATTAGCAGAAGATTCACACTAGGTTAGTAACTGCTTTTTCCTCAAGATGTATAGCTGTGTTAAACAGAGGTGTATCATTTGTTATTTTGTAGTGGTAGATTACTATTTAGTATTCTTAGAGCTGCATGTGATTTTCTAAGACTCTGTGAGTTATTTTTTGCTTATTACCGGCAGCCATTCATTCCTCTCCGCCCACTGGTTGGCAAATATCATAACTGATGATGTGGTAAGAAGGTCTATGCTCGACAATTTATCAGAGCAGGCAGTTGTTTTTTTTTTCGAAAAAGGAAAAAATTCACTAAGTGTTCTCCCCCCACTAGAAGAGGAAAGTGAAGATCTGATTTGCTTTTGTTAATTTTGTTGTGTAATAGCTTTTTGCAATCATGAGATGCTACAAACACACAGGCATCTGGAAATCAGGGGAGACAGTAACCAATTCCATGCTGCACAAGACTTTATACGTTGTTTTCTAATTGTTAAAAATTCAATCGTGTGGGATGTAAATAAGAATTTCAGCTCATGTAAAGAAAAGGGAGTTTGCCTTTGAATTGAACCGATTGTGAGGGTGATTTGTAGCTTGAAAAGGAAAATGGTTGAAATAATTGTATCCACAGTGTGGGTATTTGGTATAAGAAAGTGTGTTGAGAATATAGCATGCACAGGCATGGTTCGGGGGGGGGGTGTATAGGGGGCTTCAGCCTCTGCCTCTTCCCAAAAAACCTTTTGTCTAGTCCCCCCCCATAAAAAAATTGAATCAAACAAAACGCTGGAAAATATTGGATTTGCAATTCTGCATTTGATTTATTTTTTAAATTAGATGAACCGTCCATGATCATTTTGTAGGGTCATTATGCTCAACATATCAGCCTGATAGATTTTCTCCCAAAGTGAAAGAGCAATGGCAAAAGTTAAAATGTAACGTGAAATGGGAAGGGTCTGACCCTCTGAAGAAATTTGCTCCAGAACTGCACCTGGGCATGCATTGTTCATACCTCAATGTTGCATGGAATTCCAAAGGATTGTACTCGAGTTACTCGTCCTTTAGACGTTCGGCAAAGTTTCACCTCAATTTAATGTTTACTTTTTTCTTCCCTTTGTCATGTCATTAATTAACCATTTTGACAGTTGGCCAGTCTTTCAGTGAGTTTATTAATTGACCTTTCTTTTGTAAGAAACTCAATTTGTCTCAAAAAGTAGATATGCATTCTGTTGTAAGAATTATGATTTGTATTCAGGAGTTATCCAATGATAGGCTGACCGTTTTTGGCGAGGGAGGGACTTAGAAAGTTCATGGTGGAAATGGGGTGGGTTTTTAGACTTCTTAAAGGTACTGACATAAAAATGAAGGATCTTGATAAGCAATATTATTCTCATCACAATAAGACAGGTATTCACAGTCCTCCCAAGTTCAGATGTATGCACCAGAGAGTTGGCTATAAGATTGGTGTACGCTTCAGGTTTGGATGCCCAGCTTGGTCACATAGGTTTTCTGTATGAACCAATGCAACACTGGCACTGCTATGCTGACACTTATATTGCAGGTTAGTAAGATTTCTTTGGCAATACCATTCAATTTTGGGCCCAAATATTGACAGTGTGCCGTGTTGGATCCAGGTTTGGCTATTATACAGGTATCTGTAAACAGTGAGAGATTGAAAAGAAGTTGTTTCTGTGCCCGTGTCTTCCTTTTTTAGCAGCTCAAAGGGGTTGGTTTAAACATCCTAACCCCCCCCCATAAATTTGCCAGATGCGTTGGTTGACGTCACGTTGTTTAGGGATTTTGTATACAAGATGAAGGTAAAGTTTGAAATTTTGCCTTAAAAGGGGGAATTGTACATGGATGTACTGACGAACCCGGCCAAAGGAATTAGAAGCCATTACTGCTGGGCCATCCTGTTCACAAGCAGGTGGTACACATGCACTATATGCCCCTCCAACCAGTAGGGTGTTGTGACATTTAAAGAATTTCCCGCAAGATATTCTTAAGAAAATGGCTGCCTTTGGTCCCTGAATATCTGCTGACGTACCCACCCCCACCCCAGAGGCTGATCTAAAGGGGGGGTGGGGGGTTACAACCTCTCCGTTCAGTCGCTGACAGAATGAATTACTTCTAGTGAAATGATGGAAAATGAGAAGACCTACAAAAAGAATCCTCAATGAGGATTGCGCCGTCCATTTATCTATTTATCTGGTTCGTAAGTGACTTTGTCACAAAGGCAGGCGTGCTAGGATTTCAGGCTCCCATTGGATGATCGCTGAAGTTGCGCATTAACTTGAGATTCCATGGTTCCATGTTAACGGCAATCAATGCATGTTACTCTGTGCAGTGCATATGCAGTGGGCGTGGTTTAAACTGAAGTGACATCACAGTTACTCCCCACCCCTACTCCCCACCCCTACTCCCCACCCCCAAAATAGGTCCACCCCCTGAAAGTAGAAAATCCGCAGTATATACTTAAGGCAGATGCCACAGGACAGTGTCCGAAAAGTTTGTTTCCCAATGTGGAAGCAATGTCATGACAAAATCTGCTTAACTTTCCATTGAGCCAGCTGATCTATTCAAAACTGCTCAACAGTAACTTTCCATTGAGCAAGTTAAGGTCATAGGAAATACCTAACTTTCCACTGAGGCAGCTAATACGTGCGACAAATTTGCCTACTTTTGTTTCCTAACTTACCGTTGAGAAAAAGTCACGAGAAAAATTGCCCAACTATCCACTGAGCCACTTATACGCTGAGGAAGGAATTTGCTATGTCCAGCAAGCTTGACACTTGAAATAATTTGTCAAAGCTCTTTGACGGCAACTTCGAAATTCTCTCTGGATCTTACACGTCTGCACCGACCGTGGCTGCGATGCAATGCATCCCCATTGGCGGATTGGACTAGGGCGTGGCGAGATACTCCAAATCCCACTTCGCACAACTTGGTAACACTTGGCGTTAGCTTTGGTAGAATAAATCTCCAAAACGAGGAAGCTCTAACGGTAGATGGCGTGGCTCAAAAATTAAACCAAAATGGCGGCGCCCATCGCAACATTAGCCTCGAGGAAAGCTCGAGTTTAAATGTCATTTTTCCTATCAAAACAAATGCCTATTTTTGAATTAACTCCACGAATAATATGGGTCAATGTTCATGTTTGTTTCAGGACCATAGAACTACATAGGCCTACATAAAAACAGACACCTTTCTTAATTATTTACACAGATACAACATTACTGTTTGAAAATGGTTGATTATTCATTGGGTTATTTTTCCTACTGTAGGTCTAGTACTAACGTACGTTAGATTAGGCCTATGAAGAAGTTGCCCATCTCTCCACTAAGCCAGCCAACATTCATAATAATAAGCCCCATTTTTCCATAGGCCTAAGTCATCACAATGTGTTGGCAACCACTTGCCAAACTTCCACTAAACCGACTACAGGCTAAGGCCTACTGTCAGAAAAACAATCAGCCTATTAAATCAAAGGCCCCTTGAGAAAATCTGGGCCTACCATTGTCAAAGGGAATTGGAGATGACAAATGCTGCAATTCACAGCCGCGGTGAGCCGTCAAATAGTCACCAAACTTCTACTTTTTATATCATACTTATAATAGACCTGGAGGTTGAAAAAACAGAGAGCGAGTTACGTTAGTCACCGTGAAAAGAATTGTCTAATTTTACATGCACCCAGTTAACGGTGACGAAAAAAGTCTAACGAATTTAACGGTAATGATAAAAGTGCCTAACTTTCTATTAAGCGGTTACCAGTGATAGGAAATTTGCCTAACTTTCCATTGAGCGAGTTAACGGTGTTAGGAAAATTTGCCTAACTTTTGTCCAACAGCGCCATCACGCGGCGGCCTTGGCATTTTGTGCTCGGCAACAACAGCGCCATCACTCGGCAGTCTCCGCATTTATCACAGCACTTGACGTCACACATCACCACTACACAGAGATCACTTTTTTTCGAATTTGAATTGGTTTAGTTAACTCGCTTTGCCAAAACACAACAAATATGGATACAGACAAAGGTGGAACACAGACAAGAAAAAGAGAAATCAGTCATTGGGAAATATTGCAGGAATAGGCCTAACCATGGAGCGCTAGCCGGCTGGCCTTCCTTCATATTGACCACGTGCGTGGGTGCGTTGGCACACGTGCACGTTGAGTGACATTATAGTTATACAATGGAGGTAGGAAAAGTGAGCGCATGGGGGTCGCTTTAATCCGTTTATTTTCGCGACTTTGTGTATCATCAAGACAACACGTAAGATATTAGTCTCTAAGGAATCGCTGGCACACCTACGTGATAACTGATATGGAGTAAGTACATTTTGCTTTTATTATTCCACACTTTACAGGAATAAAATTCATAGTAGGGGGCCTAGGCGTGGTTTGCCCACGCGTCGGGGAGGACGTGTTTTTAATTTGCTCCCGTCATTGTTATGTTTTTGATTTGCTTGCTCGGTTCTTAATTTTGGTCTTTTGTCTATGTGTAGATTTTGAACGGTAGATTGTGAGCTCTTGTAGTGCGTTTGTGATCATGTTTGCTGTTTTGGTGATCTTTGGAACTGCTGTTGGACCCAAACACCTTTGATCTCATCAGCTTGGTTTGTCAGCCAGTGGTACTCGGGATGCCAACTGCAGTGCAAATCCATTGACTGTGCTGTATTGTAAATCGCGTGGGAAGTTTCACCGCAGTCTTGGAAGAGACCTGCTCAACCAGCTCTAGTGTGTTTTTGGAAACCCAAGTTGATGTGATTTTCTCTGATGTTTTAGCCGAGCATCTCATTATTTCATCAATTTGTAAGCCTGTTCGATTTTATAAGAACTTCTTGTTTGACGTATTGCATGTGTCATCTGTTAAGGAGTTTCCCTACACTACAGTTGCATTTGAGTTTGATCAAGTTAAAACTACCATGGAAAATATGCAAACCTGGATGATAGGGTAGACCTTTTGAACACACGAGAGGGTGAATCGTGGAGGAGAATGCACAACATACTTAAATCACCTGTGTTTTGCACCTCTCCATGAACATTTATGGTTCCAGCAAGAATGGTAGCTGATCCAGGTTTCCAGCTACATCCATCAACAAAAACAGCTAGAAAAACTGTCATCCTCCTTACGATGGTTGTTAGTGGGGATATTGAATTAAATCCAGGCCCCAATCCCAGTGTGTCCGATCTTTACGGGGCTTGTGGGATCATAGATAAAGGGAGAGAAAGAGCGGTATTCTGGGAGGATTGTAACAAATGGAAGCATACTAAATGCAAAAAAAATATACATGTGAGTATAGGGATTTTCAATAAAGGTCTGATCCATGGTATTGTAGTGAGCGTAGCAGCCCTTGTAGAGCATGCGATGGAAATGTACGAGGGTCCTATGCCGCCATAATGTGTGACACATGTGAATGGTGGATTCACGAAGCATGTGCAGGTGTCTCGGAGTCTGCTTATAAATCGGCTACTACAGACCTCGGAGGATATGTGGAACTGCATAAATTGTGAACTTTCATCATTTCCTGACTCGTTCTTTGAGAACCGTGCATTAGATAATGGTGGAGACTTGGTTGGGGCCGACACCTGGCAAAAACAGTTTGAAGGATCTGCACCATTGATGGGGAACCGTCAAGAGTCTACCAAGAGAAATTTAAGTTGTCTATTGATCAACTGTCAAACTATTAGAAGAAAGTTGCTGATCTACAAGTCCTCATAAAGGTGCATTAACCTGATATTATTTGTGGTACGGAGTCATGGCTTAATTCAACTCTTGAGAGTGGCGAAATATTCCCATCTAACTACAAAGTCTTTAGAAGGATAGAAATACAAACACCCCAGGAGGGGGGTGTTTCAGGCAGTTTCAACCAAATTGGTGTCAAATGAATGTTCCAACATGGATACTACATGCAACTGTGACGCTATATAAACGGAAACCAAAAATAGCAAATCCAAAGCAGTCGTGATTGGAACATTTTATCGACCGCCAGATGACAGATGTGGTCAACAAATTGACAAGCTGACAAAATCTGTGGCTGTACTTAAAGGGAAAATAAACTCTATTGTTGTTGTTATTTTGGGAGATTTTAACCTGCCAAACTTAAACTGGAATAATTACGCTGTTACCGGATCACAAGACTACAGCAAAATGGCTGGAGATAAGCTCATCAAGATGGTTACTGAATATGGCTTCAAGCAATGTGTCAAAGAGCCCACTCGGTCACTGGGAGACGTATGTAACATCCTTGATCAAGTTCTTGTGAATAACCAGGGTGTAATTAAGAACAGTGAGATTGTGGAAGGAATTTCTGAGCACGACATGGTTTTAGTCGACACTGATGTAGCTCCAAAGAGGAAGAAGCAACTCAAGAGGAAAGTTTATTTGAAGCAAAAAGCAAACACAGAAGGGTTAGTAAACGACGTTAAGGCCTATCAGTTAATCTACAATGCAGTAACAGAAGGTAAATTACCATATTTCAAATGGAAGCACAACCAACAGGTATTGCTTGATCTTTTGGAAAAGCATATAGCCCACAAGTTTGCATCAAGTAGATATAATCTACCATGGTTCAGTAATGATCTTAAAAGAGAATACAGAAGAAAAAGACGTCCCTACCAGACAGCAAAAAAAAGGGAAATCAAGGAGAAGAGTGGCAAGCCTTCAAACAATCTTGCAAAGGTATGAGAAATCAACTCTGCAAGGCAAGAACTCGGTACATACATGTGTAAATTCGTACATCCAAGAAAATTTTAAGGCAAATCACAAAACTTTCTGGTCATTCATAAAGAAGTTTCAGAGGGAAAATATTGGAGTGTCTGATCTGGGAGATGGCGAAAACATCATAAGCGACAGCAGAGCGAAAGCCAACTTATTAAATCAGCAATTTCAGAGTGTCTTTACAAACAAAATTCAAGTAACAACAAATGTCATGGGTCATGGAGATGTATGTCCTGGAATCTCCCTGTAACAGATTTCTGGGTGTGGAAAAACAGCTTCAGGAAATTGTTCCATGTAAAGCACCAGGGCCAGGTAATATTCCGCCATGGTTGTTAAAACTTCAAGTTGTTGCAGAACCACTAGCACCTGTTCTTCAAGACCTGTTTCAAAATTCAGTGAATACTGGGATAGTACCATCAACATGGAAGACAGCAAATGTTACTGCAGTCTTCAAGAAAGGGGCACGTTCAGGTCCTGCAAATTACCGTCCAGTGTCTCTTACCTCCATCCCTTGTAAAGTTCTCGAACATAAAATGTACATGTATAGTCTTTACGAGGAAACATATATCTGAAACCTGCAAGAAGGCTCAGAGAGTATGAAATATTCTGAGGAGGAACCTTTGGAGCTGTACTCCAAAAGTAAACAAAGCAGCGTTCTTCATGGGTCGACCATTGCTGGAATATTCGTCATCTGCCTGGGATCCCCACTTGGTGTCTGACATTCAGCGTTTCGAACAGATCCAAAGACAAGCTGCCAGATTCATTTCCAACAACTGCAGTAGAGCACCTGGCACCGTGACAAACATACTCAAGGAACTTGGCTGGTCATCCCTTGAGATAGGACGTAAAACCAACAGGTTATTCATGAAGTTCAAGATAATCAATATGTTGGTCAATGTTCAGTCTGATGGTACCCTCCAAATGTCAGAATCCCCACGGGTCATACAAAAAAAATTGCAAATCCATTCTCACCAGGTTTTTGACATTACCTTCTTCCCCAGAACAGTCAGGGATTGAAACAACATGCCGCAATCTGTGGTCAGTGCAACATCTGTGTCAGCCTTCAAGGAGGCAGTCGGGCAGTATTTTCATTGATGGGTTGTTTTAAATTTGCGTCAATCTCCCCATGCAAGGCGTAAACCTAATACAGATGGTGTGATGTTTCCCCTGGATGCTGTGTCCCCTGTACCATACAGATACAGACAGACCTAGTCCTTGAGACCATGGAGAAAGGAAAAGACCATGTTGAGACTAATCCTAGGAGTAGGACTAGGATCAACACTATGGGTAGGCATGCCTACACTCACTGGCTACAGTACATGTGCATGGCCCGTTTCTGTGAAGATGACACGAGTAACTTTAGTAGGCTTTTTTTATGCCCACTTAGATTTTGCACACATCTTGCAAATTGTTAATCCCTCCCAAGCAAGTCGTTGGGTGCGATGATGTGCTCACATGCAGCTGTCATACTAGGCCATCCCATATGATATAAGCCCATCAAGGTCAAAAATAATTTTTTTTTAGCGTGCTAGCCCAACTTCACTTATCCATGCTGTGCATATTTGAATTTTTTAAATGATATTTGGCGCTACTGCATCGGCATGATGTAGATCAGTCAATACTAGTCTGAGCGACTTAGACTCTACAAATTGCCTTTTTAAAGATTCAGATATGGTCCTGCGAAACATGGCAATATAAACACACTGTATACTCATCAGTGTGAAGTCACCAACTTGGTCTGGAATCAACTCGCTCTGAGTCAACTTTGTCTCAGATCAACTCAGTTCCAAGTCAACTTGGTCTCGAAAGCAGGCAACTCTTGAAAGCAGGCACATGGCTGCAGCATGAATAAAAATCTTCCAAGCTACATGTTGTTTCAACACACTTTAGCATACCTGTACACATGTCCTATACTGTCATGGGCAGCTAATACGCAATGCCCGTGGCTGGTTCCCTGCCCAGTCACACTCTGCTTGTGGCAAATCATTGGTAGAACGGCTCGCACTCTGTGATGTGACATTAAAGAGACAAAACAGCCGTCAGTTTTGTACAAGTGGGGCAAAATTTGTCTGGAGTGGGAAAACGGCAACAAAAAAGGCAACATTTTGTCCTCCAAATGAGGAAAAGGCAACTTTTCTGCAATTAGCAACCTAGGGAATAGTTTACCCCATAAGTAATGAGTGAACATACCCATGCAATTTCAGCTCATAAAGTCAAGTAGATGTTAAGTTATGCCCCCGGATATCCCGGATAAAGTTTTTTGAAAGAAATCCCTATGAATTGGGACAGGGCGCAGTATATGACGGAGGATTATACGTCGGGCCCTGTTTATGGGTCTACCTTTCAATAGGCCTACATCCATGATTGTGCACCGTACATGTAGACCTATGTAGGCCGGCATCATACATGACAAAAATGTCGAGTTCACACACTTGCTACTGTGACTGAGTTCTGTACTGAGTTCCAAAGCCTTTGAAATTGCATCAATCATGTACTGTCTGTAGGTCTATTGACCAAATTTCCATTTTTCTTTCCTTTTTTTTTTGAAGTGCCAAATGAACGCTTTGAAAATGTACCCACAATTAAGAAAGTAACTGCTAATGTTATGCCTACTTTTCTGAAAATAAGTTTGTACATGTATGTATATTTAGAGGTAATACTAGAATTTATCAACTTTGAGAAACTTCTTACTGTATGTGGGATGTGGAATTTTCAGAGATTTGTTTAAGTGTGCCACAAATAGGGAACAGTCAGCTGAATTTGTGCCGATTTCTGGATGCTGTCGTTTTTGTATTTCGGGTTTTTAAATTTCATGACACCAAAATTGTTCACAGAGGTGATCAGTGGTATGTATTTTAAAGGTTATAATGTCATTATTTACTGTAACTGAATGAATTCAAAGTTTTTCAGCAACGAGGTCTGGCAATGATGCATTAGGAAAGTCAAGGCTAGTGGACTATACCTCCGTGTACGTGGCCCTACTCCTAAACTAGAAGCAAGTGGAGGATGGCTTAACATTGGGATAAAGTTCCCCGGCCGTGAACGGTATCAGCCACATACAGGTATTTCTCAATAGTCTTTTTGATTAATTCACCCAGCAGTTTATCATGTTCAGTTTGCCCAAATGGCCAATTCTTGACCATGATGCCTGTCGATGAATTATTTGTCATCTCGATACCATAATTTTGTTACATTTGTGATTTGCTCAAGATCTTCACCGGCAGTGAACATGTACAGCTCCAGACACCAGCAGTTGCGATGATCTCATCTAAGAACGTTAATTTACTGCACACCACATTAGGTACGTTCAACTAGCATCATTTGTTTGAATGAATCTATTTTTAACATAGGAGTAGCTCCCCTTAGGCGTTCATGCCTTTAAAAGTATAAAGTAAACCAGCACAGTCAGTTGCAAAAATTTAGGACCACTCATACAAAATGCATCAACCTGAAGAAAAACCAAACTGAAACCAATATATACAGATATCGGCAGAGACGAGTCAGTTAACCTACATGTCATGTATTGCTCCACATATGTGACGTGTCACCACAAAATGAGTTGAAAGTAGGAATTTTCAAAAAATTGAGGTATTGGTATTATTGAATTCAGCAGAAAAAGAGATTTTCAGTGGTACGTACATTGAATACTTAGGGTAAAGGTATCAGGTGACAATGTGACATTATTCTGGCAGCTTTGAGTCTTTGGTTTCGGCATATTTTTCACTATTTCAGACCAGGCACGAATAATGCTATCATCAAAACTGCTGAGAAAAAAGACAGTTTTAAATATGTGATCCTACTAAATATTTGGAATTAAAGAGGAAACGGGTTACTCATTCCAAAAATTACAAAACCTTCAAATTGACCTCTGCTTCAGTATCACTTTGAACCTTCAAAATAGGAAAGAACGAGATGCATCTTTACTCCCATTTTGTCATAACAGGTCACATATTAAACTTGGTGTGGTTTTCTGCTTGAGTCATGTCTGTTACAGCATCCATGGTGAAAGTCAGTGACTGAAGTCCGAGTGTACATGTTCATGTATTCTTGTAAGTTTTGTTTGACAAACTGTGCTTGTGAATGCTAAAAAAGCCGGGTGTTTTTTGACCATGTGACTTGTTACAGCTGGTATTGTGACTCAGCCGTCCCATGCTTCATTTTGTAAAAATTAGGTGCACTCTTTCTAACATTGTTTTTTTTTCATTTGCACGGCAGTGGAGAAGTGTAAAGTTTTGGCTGATCTTTGATTCCACAGCCCCCAGCTTTTTTTAAAGTTAAACTTTAGTTCATGGTTTTCAAGTCTTATTTAATTTTTCAGTTTTGGGTTTTTTTAAGGGTTGATCTTTTTGTTCTTTGGTTTTGATACTTACATGTACATGTAGAATTGGTGTATGAGTCCCTATTGATTCAGTTGCCTCCAACTGTGCCGTTGAAGATTCTTCAGTTAATCTGAGTTTCTCTTATTGTGATAGCTTGCTATTTTTCCAGGTCTGTCTCTTAATCAAATGCACCCTATATACCTGCATTGCATTGGCACACTTTGATGCTGGACCCCACACATGCATACACACCTGGCATCTGGCAATCAGGTAAGAGATGACTCAACGATGTAATTGACACCTGCTAACCCTTCCGATTTGATCGCAATTAGGCAGCTGTGGTGGCTTCACCCTCCACCTATGAAAGGGAAAAAAAGAGGGGAAGAAACTTTTTGAAGGGGGAAGGGAGCTGCGTGGGGTGGAAAGCGATGGAAGGTGGTTATGTCACTGTGTGTGTGGGAGGGGGGGGAGATAAACTTTCCCCTCCCCATAGGGTCAGGAAGATCAGGCATAAATTGAATAATGTATCTGCTTCAGCTGCAAATCTTTCCTTAGTTAAAATAAAGCTGAAGTTGCCACTTGGTGCAGCCATAAAAAAGTACGGTTCTGTGTTATTTTCTGTTGTCTTAGAGAACTAAACTAAAAACTACAGAGACTGCACAGTGCCAGATGTTATACACTCTGCAGACATGATGACATATAATTTTTTTGGCAGAGAACATAACCGACAGGAAACCTGTCTCTTGGGGTATAATTTTCTCCAAAATTTACTGATGAAAGCCACAATTTTGAATCTTTGAACAGTTTTTGGCAGCTCCTTAAAAATAACATGAAATGAATATTTGTCTTGTAAAAACAAAATTTTCTTATGATAAATGGGTGAATTAGTTAAATCATTTTATGGTTATCTTAATTTCACAGATCAAGCCCCTTATTGTCATAATATCTGCTCTTGGAACATTGATGAAGGTCCAAGCAAGACGGCCAGATTGTGGAATCAAAGAGGGCCAGCAGTCTACAACCTTTAGAAAAGGAGTTTTAGATAATGGTGAAACTGCATGTATCACTTTGCAAATACTGACCTTGACCCTAACCCCACCAGATGCAGCATACTGCTGCAGGTGTAAAAGTCTGATGCACCATAGCCGTGTTCCCATTGGACTTTGTTTTTTCGCAGGCACGCGGAAACTTATCACGACATTCCTTCATGTCAATCTACCCCACATTCCCACATGGACTGTTTTTAACCGTAACAGAATGTTTATTCCCTGTGTTAGGCCTAATAAGACCAGCTAATTACATTGCCTGCGCTGTACAAATCATGATGAAATCGGCAAAATCTGACAAAAACAGAGATAAAATCAGACGAATTCGGCCAAGTCTGCCACAAAGAATGATGAACTCGTACAGGAAAAGCCCTGTACACAATGTGTGTATAGCTTTATCCAGGCACACCTCACTGTGTGTGTGTGCGGCATGCTGCTGTACTGTGGGCATGGAGCTGAAGGCTGGGAACCATACAACCAGTTTAGCTTGGTCGCGGTCAATCTACATTGTATGGGAACTGTTCCCAGTGGACTTTTTACACCCCTGCTAACTTTCCTTGGCTGCGCGGAAATCATCTGTGACCCTTTTCAGCCTGTTAGTTTTACATCACGATCACGGTAGTTGGCAGGGACATTAGTTTGCCATGTGTTCCCATTGGATTTAATTTTGTAGTTCTAAAGGAAAGTTGCGGTAAGTTAACCAAAAAACTCCAATGGGAACACGCCTTTTGATGCACTGGGCAATCAACAGTAGCCAAACAAACTGGTCATGGTGAGAAAATGGGAGCTAGTCTCCTTGAACAATGCCACTGTTGAATCTTGTGGTGGCAGGCAACCACAGACTCCCAGGCTGTTTGGCCTTGGGGAGAGTTGACCTGTAGGATCTTGTTACATTGGGCAAGCAAATTGCTTTGACAAATGATGCAGACTGATGTGTCTGGCAGGGTTTCTAGCCAAACAACCCTGAACAGTTAGGTTTATATATTGTGCTTGTTTAATTATGAAAATGGCTTGGAATCATTCACATTAATTGACAGAAATGAGGCCTTTCTATTTCTCCAGTCCAGTTAACTTTCTCTTTATTGTTAGGGCACTTGTTGGCAAGAGCAGAGATGGTAGAGAGTGGAAGAAACATGTGCAGTCCATCCAGGAGAAGTCTGTCTTCTGCAGTGACTGGAAGTTGTCCTTTCAAGTATTGAAGATGTTGAGGCCATACATTGGTGTCACAGACACATGCACAAAGTAACGTCAAGGCTATATTGAAGATTTTAAATATAGATACTCAAGCCAATAGGGGTCATAAGATATTACCTGAACCAAATCACTTTCAGGTTTGACAACTTAACCATCACCATTGTGCAGTTAATTGTGTGTTCATTTGACCCTAAAAGAACCTCCTTCAAGCATTTGTTCTGATATCACCACAGTACAGTAGGCGAGCCTTCAGGAGTTTTTCAGTAACTCTTTTGTGGTCTTTTTGACACCAATTCTGAGAGAATTGCTTATACATGTAACTGTCTCGTTACAAGCACCCCTTTTTCCTGAAAGAAAAAGCCCCCCCCCAAAAAAAAACCAAGTCTGGTCTGAGGCAATTTGGTTCATCAGCCTGGTGTTAATTGCAGTTCACAGAATGAATTCCATCACAGATTGCCTCTTAGCTAATGCTGGTACCCATTTATACTCCTGGGTGGAGAGAGGCTTGCCAAGGGCCATAACATACAGCCAGCAGCTGGATTCGAACTTCCAATGCTATGATTGGAAACCATGGACCCTAACCACTTGGCCACGTGAAAGAGGTCAGCCATACTTTTTCATTTTGTTACGAGCCAAGCCTTTAGTTTCATAAAGCAGTCACTTTGACAGCAGTTTTGTGAAAATCACACACGCGGTTCTCGTGCAGCACCCACTTTCCTGAAAACACGTCAACCCCAAAAACGTATCCGCACTTTCAACTGCTGTGCTGAGTGCACGTGGTGGCTGGTACGCTTGTAACCTTCAACTTCAAATGACTGTATCAACTATAAGTTGTATGTCAGATTGATTTGAAACTCCACATTTGCATTTATAAGGAGTGTTTTACATGCACACCGAGTGTTGAAAAAAATCGGGCTTGAGACGACAAAATAACCCGCCAACTTTAGAGTTAACACAGAAATAAAATTGACAGAACTTAAATGACATTAATTGGTTTCTCCTATCAATTCCGGCAGGATCTCCGTTGTGTTTGCTGCATCAGAGGCACCGCCGTAAAATGCTGACCAACCATAGAGGGCGCTATTACCATTTCATGAAGCTTACTGCAATCACACAAAGAGGAGAAACAGAACTGAATGCTGCCTTAATTGCACAACGGTAATGGAAAGAGGACAAAAAGGACTGAATGCTGCCTGAATTCCCTTATTTACATCACAGCAGTAGCCCCCCACTCATCCAGACAAGCTTGCGTTTATAGCAAGATAAAGAAAATTGTGAAATATATTCTCTAAATTGAAAAATCCAGAGGACCTGAGAAGTTGTGTTCAAGTTTCAACCAACACAGTTGAATTTTTATTGACACCTAGATCATATAAAACTGCACTTTTGGAAGTATGAATATAGAAAGATTTGCAAATACATGTGTATGTTTGACTTAAAATATACTGATATACATGCAGGGTCAGAATGTTTTGTGTATTCTGTCTTTCAACAATGAAATGTCTGTTATTTAAATACATGCAAATGTGCTGTGACCTCTGACTTTTTTTAAATTGCGCAATCCTAACCTTTAAATATAAGTTCCGAAATCTTATACCTGAAGAGGCCTGTGGCCTGGTGGTTAGCTTGCTTGCTGCCAGGCCAGGGGACCCCGGTTCAATTCCCGGGGTTCCCGGAAAAAGAGGTTTTTTTTTTTTTTTTTTTTTTTTATACTAAGTTTTTTAACAAAATTTTGCATGCCC